TTCTCGAAAGATTCAAGCTCTCACTCTCAAATCCCTGCTAGAAATTTCTACATCACAACAGTCCTGACATTTTAAAAACCACTATTTGCAAAACCAACTCTTCACCTTTACTCTAAAGCCTTTTCTTTCCATTATCACAATTTTATTTATGGTGCAAACGTCTGTCCATTTGAACTTTCCAGGGCGTTGTTGACTTGGTCTTCGCCTTCCTCCTAGCCAATCAATAAGTGCATTTCCATGGGGCCTCTTACACACGTTTCTCCACACTGCACTCCTGCATGTTCTTGTTGCGGGCTGTGCCACCTCTCATTCCTCCCTGTTCCAATCCGTCTGTACATTTGCTGCCATAATCTCAGTTTCTAAGAGCACCACAATAGTGCCCACTGCTTTAACAACCTTTCCTAGGTATGTCTCAGCTCAACACTGGGAACAGAGCTCTCACCCCCGTTCAGGGCTCCTGTTCACTTGTTCAGTACATATTTATTGAGTACCTGCAGTGCCAGCCAGTGCTCTGGCATTTGGGCGGGAGAAAGGCACAGCCACAGCCCACATGAAGTTCACTTTCAGGCAGCAAAGTCAAACAAGAAAGAAGTAAAGTTATTGATTCTTGTTACAAATATATAAAAATGAATAAAGTTAGCATTGAGATAACAGTTGGTAAGAAACTATCTTAGGGCCAGCCAGATAGCTCAGCAGATTAAAGCACCTACTTAGACAGCTGCAGCAACCAAGGTTCGATCCTTGGCCTGTCATGCCAGCCCTGCCCCTGGAGCACCCTGAGATGGTGACTGAGACTGGGCATGATGGTGCATGCCTGTAATCCCAGCGCTTGGGAGGCCAAAAACAGGATGATCACTACAAGTCTCATCTAGGTAGTGAGACTCTGTAGATCCTGTACTAAATACATAAAAAAGAAACTATCTTAAACAAGATAAAGTGTGCTAGTGTTTTTAAAACATAATTCAATTGATATACTTTATGTCATGGTACATATTTGAGGCAGAGTGTGACACACACCTAATAATGACCAGATCGGTGGCGTATCTGTCACCACATAAGCATATCCTTTCTGTATCTTGGGAACAACATTCAAAGTCTTCTCTCCTCTTGTGAACTACTCCATTCTATCTTGGCATCAGGTTATCCATAGCTGGGTGCCACAGGATGTTAGAAGTGACTTCTTCTCATTTGTACCCTGGGATCCACAAACCAGGGCCGGTCTTCCTGTGGAGCTCACCTTTGAGGAGCGACCCGATGGGAGACCTCAGAGTGAGAGGAACCCAGAAGGTAACAGCAAGTCTGAAGAGTCTGAGGCGAGGAAGCACACTGAGGAGGGGGAGAGTGTGATGGAGAAGAGGGGAAAGGCACATGGTGGAAGAGCCCCCAAGAGTGGGCTGCCCTTGGGGATGATGGAGAGTCCTGTAGGCCCAAGAAAGGCACTGGGGCCGTGCTTTCAGGGCTGTGGGAAGCCCCGGGAGAGTTGGACCGTGGGAGACTCATCATATGATTATCGTTTTTGAGCACCAAGGACCAGGATATAGCTGAGTGGCAGCACACGTAAGAAGGATCTGAGAAGCACTGGGTGTGAGACCCAGCACCACAGAAAATAAAAACATATCACATTTTACAAAAGCAAGCTATTCCTTGATGTAACTTTAGCATATTTCATTAAGCTCCTCTTCCTCTAATGTTTTCCTCTTGTTTTTTTACTACATGACATTATTATGGGATCCAAAAGGTGCTATAATTTAGGAACATGATGTAGAATAATCAAATCATGCTAACTAATGTATCCATTACTTCAAATCCTTATGTGTGTATTGTGTGTGTGTGTGTGTGTGTGTGTGTAACAACAACAGATATATTGGGCAGGCGAGGTAGCTCAGTGGACTAAGTGCCTGCTTAGACAAGTATAGGGACCAGGGCTTGATCCCCGAGCACCACTTGCCATGCTGGTACACTGAGCCAGCCACTGAATCTGGGCATGGTGGTGCACACATGCCTGTAATCCCAGCACTGGGAAAGCTAAGACAGGAGGATCACTATGAATCCAAGCTGTATATTGAGACCCCATACCAAATACATAAACACACACACACACACACACACACACACATACACACACACACACGTGCATGCACACATACATATATTACTTCAGCCATTGTTAGGTTTCTATATACTATTGTGAACTATATTCACAAGTGTTATAGTTTGTGTCTAGTTGTCCCCCGAAAGCCTCATGCAGTCATGGGATGAACTTGTAGAGTCTGTGATAAGCTCATGATCCACTGGGATTATGGGTGTGGGTGCTGCTGGGATTATGGGTTTGGATGCTGCTGGGATTATGTGTGAGTGCTGCTGAGATTATGGGTGTGAGTGCTGCACCCAGCCTAGGGTGGATTGCCTGAATGCAATTTAAAGGAGACAGACTCAGTCTCTGTGGTCATTGCTGCCCCTGCTCATGCCATTTTGCTCTTGCTGTCTTGCTCTGCCACCGCCATGAACAGCTGCCCTCTGTGCCATGTGGCACTGTGCCAGGAGCCAGCTGAGTATGGACTGAAACCTCTACTGACTGTGAGCTAAATAAACCTTTCCTTCCTTCATTTTGGGTGTCAGGTATTTTGTCCCAACAATGAGAGAAGAGTAACTGAGACAACAAGACTGTGCAGTACACCTCACAAAACACCCCTTGTTCCCCCAATTTGAGGCTTTGCACCCCTTTACCATCATCCCCTCAATCTCCACCCTCATCAATCTCTGGTAACACAGCTCTGTTCTCTGCTTTTATGAAGCTGATCTTTGCAGATTCTCTCTACAAGTGAGAACGTGCAGTATGCATCTTCATGTGTTTCTTTGATTTCAAATCATCTCAGCAGATGTGTCTTAGTTCCTTTTCTCTTGTTCCTGAGACAAAGTACCTGACACCCAAAATTAAGGAAGGAAGGGCTAATCTAGCTCACGGTATGCAGAGCTTTCAGTCCACAGCTGGCTCCAAGGCAGGTGGCACATGGCGCAGGGCAACAGTGCAAGGTGGCAGATGACAGCAACAAGGGGAAGGAGCAGTGCTTTCCTCCTTATATTGTATGCAGGCGGTCACCCCGAGGGCGAGTATAGAACTCACACCATCTCCACCTCCTCTTGCACAGGTTTGGGATGTTCCCAAAGGGGGGACTCGGGCCTCTGCTAAACTTTTTAAGTTGACACAATGAGCAACATCCCAGAGCGGTCCGGGCAGGTGCTCTGCACCCCAAGGTGTGCGGCTGCTGAGCTGCTTAGTTAAGCTTCCAGACGTCTCACATTGCCTCAGTGAACAAAGCCCGAGAAGTAAGGAATTGTGCTCTCCCCCCAAGGATGTAGGACTGCTGAGTTACTGAATTAAGCTTATAGACTCCTCAAATTGCCACAGCATATCAATCATTACAATACAGAAAATGTGTTTGACAGAATTCAAAATCCTTTCATGATAAAAGAAACTCTCAACAAATTAAGTACAGGAAAAATACATTTACATTACATTATTGCAAAAATACAATAAAAATTACATATGATAACCCCGCAGCTAACATTATACTCATGGGCTGGGGCTTGTGGATTAGCTCAGTTGTTTAAGCGCCTGCTCTGGCAAATCCAGTCAGGCACAGGGGACCGTGGTTCGATCCCCAGACCTGCCCTTCAGGCAGCCTGAGCCAGCCAAAAAAGAAAAAAAAATCCTACATTATACTCATGGGAGGAAAATGGAATGCCTTTCATTCAGCATTCAAGACAAAACGAGACAGACCACGTGCACTACTTCTATTCAACAGAGAACTGAAAAACAAGCAGACAAGAGAAAGAAAGAAAAGGAATTCAAATCAAAGGAGAAGAAGTGAAATTCTCTGTTGTGATTTTTCTGATGACATTATCTGTATAGAGAAAACTCTAAAGAGCACAGACAGAATGAGAAAGACAGACACAGAGATGACAGGGAGGGAGAGAAGAAAGGAGGGGGAGAGAGAGAGACAGAGGGAGGGAGAGGAAGAGGAGAGAATGAATAACTCAGCAAAAGGGCAGGTTTAAAAATACCGAATAAGTCAGTAAAGTTTTTAATGCACTAACTGAACTTCCTGCAAAGAAATCAGGAGAACAGTCTCATTTACCATAGGATCAAAAAACAAAATATTGAGGAAGAACTCTAACCAAGAAAGTGAAAGATCCACATGAAAAAAGCACAAAAAGCTAAGGAGACACAATGAAGAAGCCACAAGGTGTATGCGCCAGAACCTTCCCTGGTGTACCTGCCATTCTGCCCCTGATCACCGATGGCTCTTCCTCAGAGCCCTCTCTGTCATTTCTGCCTCTCAGAATGTCGCCCTTCCTTCAAAGCCTAAGTCCGATGACATTGTCCCTCCTATAAGCCTCAACCCTCAAATCCATAGTAGCCAGTCTGTGCCTCGAATTCCCACCTCAGCTGGCCGTGTCTCCATCATAATTCATCTTGCTCTCTTTCGTGGTTCATTTAGTTGTGCATGACACACGCCCCTTACTACGATTTAAACATCTCAGGACAAGAACTGCCCACCTCTTGTTTCTATTCCACTATAAATCACAACATGCACCTCTCATGCACACGAGAGCTTCAAGAAGAGCCTGCCGAGGCAGTGAATGGGCAGCCTGCATCAGCACACATGATCTTTTGGGAAGCAGATTCAGCCCTGAACCCGTGGCACTATGGTTTCTGCATCACTAATAGTTATCTGCTTACTTAAATAACCTTTCTTTGAAATACACTTAGAAAGATGGAAAACTGTGTTATGGGGTGGGACAAGTATGTAGGTTATTCCTTTCCTTAAACAAAGAGAAGTCCTGTTATGCGTCATGGAAAATTAAAGCACAGTCATAAAATATGCCAACTAGACATGTTGAATAATGATTTAGTGGAAATGTTGCTTTACCTCCCACTCGTGGGGCCCGACTTCACTCTCCAGGACTTAAGCTGAAAGCTCTCTTTATTTTTTTAGATCACATTGACAACTATCGGCTACGGAGACAAAACTCCCCTAACTTGGCTGGGAAGGTTGCTTTCCGCAGGCTTCGCACTCCTGGGCATTTCTTTCTTTGCACTTCCTGCTGTAAGTATCTTTGTAGCAATAAAGCACTTTGAATTAGGCTTTAGAGGTTTATGGGAGCTGTCACACACTGGCGTGCGTGGGAACCTGTCTGTACCACTGACACGCACCCCTTTTCTAATGCAATGTTGACTTCTCTAAATATATCCAGGTGGATACTTCATAAAATACGGTCTCCACTGAAAGGCCCTCGAGACTTTAATACCAGCTAAGTTGTTATGGCCAAATAATCATTCAAGTGGCATCATCTCTCGGCCAATATGCCACTAATACATTCAAAGTATTTGCAAAGGTTTAAAGATATCTTCATCCTAAACTGATTGCTCCCATCTGGCTTATAAAATGCGCTTCTGGAGAGACGGATGTGTGTCTGTGGCGTTCTCTCCTCTTCAGGTCCATTTGAGTGAAAAGTAAATGACCTTAAATGGTTTTAAATGTGTCCCATGATTTATTTTTTGTGTCTCCGTCATTGATTTTTTTTCTAAAGAGCAGTTTCTGCATTTTATCAGAATGAAAAGCACATTTATCTTCCTTCTCCTCCTGATTACTTTCCTCTTAATGGGTGAAGCTTGCCTTTCTGATCGTTTCATCCTCTTGTTTGTTTAAAAGCAGTTGGTAAAAAAAAAAATAAAAAAATAAAATAAATAAAAAATAAAAGCAGTTGGTCAAAACAGTACTATGTGCCCCATCCCCCACACTCACCTTTGGCCCCTCCCCCTGATGTGGGGGTAGGGGAGTGGCCAGAAAGGAGTGCTGAGGCTGTGGGCTCAACTCCTGCGCCCAGGGGACACGGCCAGGGCCCTGCTGCAGAGCCTTCACCCAGCGGGGACTGACAGCACCCTCCACAGGGGCTGGGGAGTTGGGGTCCCCTGAGGAATGCAGCACCAGGGCTGTCAGGACCGGGCTCCTGCTCTGCCTGGAAGTGAACGCAGAGTACACTTGTCCTTCTGGTGGCCAGTGCCAACTCCACATGGACCAGCCAGTTCTACCCTGACCCACTCAAAATCACAGAACAAAACAGCAAAGACACTGCCTCTGCTCAGCCTCGGACTTCGGCTTGAAGCTCTGCCACGTGCTGAGTGGCTGTTAGTTGGCTAGCGCCACTGCCACAACCTGCCATGGACCCGCTGTGCTCAGTGACAAAAATGTACTGCCACTCAGTGCTGGGAAGCTGAATTCAAGGTGCTGGTGGGGCAGATCTTACTGCAAGCCTTGGGAGGAGGATCTGTCTCAACCTCTCTCCTTGGCCTTGTCCGTGGACACACCTTCTCCCGGTGTCTTCATTTCATCCCTGTCCTGCTTTCCTCTTCTTTGTTCATCCGCCATATTGGATTAGGGCCCATGTTGATGACTTCATTTTAACTTGACTAACTTGACTACCTAGTAAGGTTGTTCAAAGAACTTCACATTCTGAGGTATAGGTGTTCCCACTCCAGTGTGAGAATTGGGGCAGATGGCATAGTGCAGCTCAAAATAGTAATTTAGGTATAGTTTTTCATCATCATAAAATGAGAAATAAACAGCATGGAGAAATATGTGCTTGTTGTGAGGAAAACACAATGTTGCTTCTCTTTATCGGTATGACTATAAAACCTCATGTCTCCATGTAGAAAATGATGAAATCAAAAAAGAAGAAAAACCGTTCATCCAAAATCAACTCATCTGGCAATCTCAACAATCCAGAGCAGAGCAAGCAGAGCAGAGATCCACTGGGTTATCAGATTCCCTGCAGGAAAACATCTTCAGAAACAGTATAATGTAGCCTTGGGGTTTTTCCTCCTAAAATAATGATTCAAATGCCTGCAGCTCTGGGGCTTTCTATCTGTCCTGAGATTACAGACATTACCAAGTCATTAAATGAGCCAATGCTAGTCCTGTCTGAGCACTCCTTGAGACCTAATCTATAACTGAGTCTTCATTATCAGAGAAAACTGATCAACTTACTGTGTATTTTCATGATTCTTTGTAGATTATAAAACAACACATGTAGGGGGAGGCAGGTAGAACAAACACTGAGACAGGAATAAATGGAGAATGACCTAACAAGGGAGAGGAAAGAAAGTCTGTAAGAAGCAAGGAGATACAGCCAAAGTATGAGAAGAGTTGCTGGGACCAATGTGCCTAGCTCTCCCTCCTCTGGAAGCTGGCTGCATCCAGCACTACAAAATACTTGGAGCCTACCATGAAACTCCAGACCATTGAGGGGGTTAAACTGGGTCAATATGTTGGGCTAAGGTCTGAGGCTAGGAGTCACTGTTGGAAGTGTTTCCCACAAAATGATTCCATTTCTGAATGCAAGTTGAATTAACAGATGTTGGAAATCTGAAAAATGGGCATGCATACAACAGCATCTTACAATAGTGTCCCATCATGGTCCACAAGAGTAGCCTCCCCTGTGGCTCTTTGCACAGTTAACACTGAGTTACCACTTGATCCTGTGCATCTGCCAGCCAGCAGTGCTGTCCTATTAAAACTAAGGAGAACACCTTGCTGGGGAAGTCCGAAGGGGTTTGAGCTGCTCCCACCAGCACTGTTGCGGAGGAAGTGTGGCTGTCTTACCTTCAAGGTGAGACAGAAGTTGAGTTTCAGGGAAGTTGAATTCCTTGAGCTCTCCATCCAGTAAAGTCAATGGGAGGACCAGATCTGCTTGATTTGATATTAACCTTTCCATAACTATACTCAATACCTATAACCATCAGCGATGATAAAAAAATATGATCATTGTATAATAAAATACCAACAATTGGTGAAAATCATTTAGCATGGCTTGTTTGCCATGTGTGAGATATGAAATAGGCTTATTTAATCTGGAAAATGAAGGATAAATATTTAAAATGTTTATCCAAACATGTTTTTTAACTTGGTGTTTATACATCTCTTCTCAGCCTAGTACTAAAATTAAAACCTAAAAATTTAAGTCTTGTTTTCCTACAAAATGAGTGAAAAGTCATTTTCGAGTATTTTCATCTATTGATGTCCACTTGGAAGGACTGGCACGTGTGTCCAAAGATTAAATAGTGTCTATGCACGTGTGTGCGTGTGCGTACGTGAGTGCGCTTGTGTGCGTGCGCGTGCGTGCACACATGTGTGTATACCACAACAGACTTAAAAGACTTCTATTTTGGTGCGCTGAGTTGTATACGGGACAGAAGTGGAATAAAACTGGCAAAGCGCCATTCCAAGACACTGAGCAGACTCGGCTTAATAACGGCTGTAATGTACAGCCTGGCACAAGAGATAGGGAACAAACAGCTGCCTTCTACTAATACACGGTTCTCGGCAGTGCTGATGCGACTTTCAGCGCATTTCGGTTGGTGGGTATATGCTAGATTTGTGCCGTAGGACCCCGGTTTCATTTCCCAAAGGAGATTTAACTCCAAACCTCATATCCACATGATAAATGCTGAAAAATGATAGCTAGTATTGCTGTTAATTCAATTTCTACATAGTCTGAATTGTTCTCCAGAAGAGCAAGCTATGTACAACTATGTCATAAGTAAGTGCTATAACTTCTGATGTTTTATATTTTCCTATTGTTTATAATTCCTGGAAAATTATATTAAAAGGAAAATAAATCAGTCTTTCCCAAATAACTCTATGTTACAAAGAAAAAAAAATTAGGAGTTGTGACTGACTTGAGTTGAATCAAATTTAGAAATGGAGAGCTGTTTTTATAACCTCCAAGTTTTAAAAGGCAAATATTGTTTAAATGTACAAACCAGATCATACAAACCAGGTTTTCATAAAGCTTAGTTTGTGTAATCATAACTTATATGAGACAGAGACCTCAGCCAACGTGAGACATGCAAAGAAAAAAAGATGGAAAACAGAGCCCATGAGGTCATTGCTAATTCTAAGGTTCAGCCATTTGTTCTAATTAATAATGGAGTAGATTGTTCCTCATTAATAGCAGAGAGTATGTGTGTATTCAACACATGATCGCATTAGTTATTGTCTGGTCATTGTCATGGATGTGCTCAGAACTGTGAATCTCCGAATAAGAAAGAAGGTTAGAGGCTATCTGGAATCCCAAAATATATCAGCCAAGCTGTCACTGGTTGAGACTCAGCACCTCCCAGAGATGGAAAACCCGCACCTATTCAGGCAGCCTCTAGCATCTTTGAACTACATAAAGAAAGGGAAAAAAATTCTTAGCTATGGAAAATACTAACTCCATGCTTATAAGATGCCCAGCTCTAACCCAAGGGTTAGACTCCTTGAAGTTTAATAAAAAGCTAATAATTCATAGCTAGCAAGTAAAATCCACAAACTGGAAAACAAAGGAGCCCCGCACCCCATACTAATAAAGTCAAGAGTACAGACAAAGCCCAGAGACTAGATGCAGCAAGCCCTGCAAGTCAACCCTACGCTGAGACAAAAAGCATCTTGAGTTCACAAACGTGAGACCCAAGCAAACTGCAAAGGAAAAGGAACATCAGAGAAGCAGATTGTTGGCAGATCCACATGATAAGCAGAAGGACACATAACCAGCCAAAACCTTGTGCAAGCATGGGAGGGAGTATTAAACCTTCTAAGCCCCAAATCCAAATAGGTAAGTCAAAACCACAATGGTAAAGAATGCCAACAGCGCCTGATGGAAGCGAAGGAAAACAGGAACGTGCTTCATAATGATTCATGCTCCTGTCCTTATTATGCACAAGGGCAAAATGAAAAACCTCCTGTCTTCAGAACTGGCTGCCTGTTCATCTCACCTGTCCCCCTTTTCTCCACTATTTTTCTTTGGTACATGTAGCACTGAAGCAGCATGGAGCCTGCAGCTGGGACAGATCTGAAACATGCCTCCCCACTTCATGGATGGAAGCTACTCATGCTTGGTTTCATCAAAGTGCTACAAGTACTCCCAAATGAACAGCAACAAGACAAGCTTTGTCCACTCAGACTCCAGCTGTGTGAAACGAGTTCATGTTTTCTCAATTATATCACTGGAGAAGATGACCAGCTCAAACTTAAGCAGAAAGAAATATCACAAAGAAAGCTTTTTCATTGTTTAAGTGTCATTTTTTTATTTTTAAGTATGGTGCCTCTTGAGATATCATTAAAGACAATAAATGGTGATACTTAACTGACTTGCTAAAGAACAGAAGTTGTTATGTCTCTTGGCCATATTGCCCAAGAACTTGACATTAACTGACAATTTAATAGAGTGTTTTAGTAAGTAGCACTTTTATTATGGGCAGGTTGCGTACTGTTTGTCTTGTCTCAGACTCACTGTAGAGGTTTTTTAAATACATGTATTTTTGACAGGGCTTTTGAATTTTTGAAAAAGTATTCTTTTTATATTTTGTTCCAGGGCATTCTTGGCTCAGGTTTTGCATTAAAAGTACAGGAACAACACCGTCAAAAACACTTCGAGAAGAGAAGAAACCCAGCTGCCAACCTCATTCAGGTAACTGTCAGTGCCCTTGGTAGACGGCAACATGTGCCTCCAGGAGCGCTGGCTGAGTCACTTTCCAATTGCTGTACTTTATTGCTTTTCTAGAGAATGAAGTCAGAACTGTACAGTCTTGAGTCTGGGCAGACATTCTCATTTTTCCAAAAGGAAAAATATGCCTTTTCACCCAAAGGTCCACATATTGTTCAGCTAGTCAGGCAGCAAGGATGTGCAGACGTTAGCCGCTGTGCCGCTCTGGGAAAGACTAGTATGTCTTAGGAATTTTAAGGTGAGACACAATTCATCATTAAGTGATAGAGCAAGAAATGGCATTGTTCCCTGCATGGCAGTTATTTTCTTCAGTCAATTCATACCACCATTCTGAAAAATAATCTACCTGTTTAGAATACCAAGATTTAGCACCTGTGGGATTGCTTTTAATTCCATGTAGGGGAATGACTTGAAATAGTATCTTATTTGAAGAGCTGGTGGCATTATTATGGGAGACGCCAGTGCTTGAAAGCATGGAACAATAAGCGTGTTGTTTGAAGTCAGACAGGATTTAACATTTTGTTTCCTGAACTCAGGATTTGCCTTAGCTCTGAAAGAAATGCTTCTCCTTTCATTATCCATATCTTCTGGGAGTAAAACCAGGTAGAGAATCATCAAGTGTATTAGTTTCTAGACCTATAATATTGAATGGATGTTTGATTATGGGGTCAAGATGATCCTACAGTTGAGTGTTTCTCCCCCTGCCAGAGAGGTGAGGCACCAGAGCTCTTAAACTGGAGATGTTTGGGACAGCAAACCAAGACCCTAAGAGATCTGTCTTTAAGTTGCAGGAACCGGCATGCTGCTTTCATTGAGACTGCGGGTTTGAGTAGCTGAGTTAATAAAAAGTAATCCTCAGTGATTACTCAGGCCCTTGTGCTTGCCAGGCAAGCGCTTATTCTACTGAGCTATCTCCCCAGCCCACCCCCGTGAATTTTACTGTCAGCCTTTCTCTGCAGCTGTGGCCTGCAGCCTCTCCAAAAGGAACAGAGGTAGGGGAGAGACCAAGGAATAAAGCTGCAGTGTGTCATGAAGATCTATTTGTATTTAAGGATTAATTTGGGACATGGATGTTCTAATCAAGTGGAGCAGTGGGTGACTTTTAACGCAAATAATTGAGTCTCTATTTTTAAAATTTCCTAGTTTTAAAACAGAAAGTAAACTTCATTTCCTTAAAAGAAAGGATCCCTAAGTAGCAGGAATTCAGAGACTGGTGCCAAACAATCGAGCCCAGAATGATAAAAGAAGTTATGTGTCCTAGGACACACATACAACACCCTTTTACTACAGAACAATACTTTCCAACTCATGGAACCAGTGGCATCTCGCTGAGTTCTTTGATTCATCTGGACACCAAGGCCCAGCTACATAGGAAACCAATAATAAGTTTTATTGACATACAACCTCTTAGAACATCAGCTGCTGTGTTAAAAGTGAACCATTAGGGAGTTTCTGGTGCATGTGTCAGTTGTGATGCTATCCCACTGTAATGAGCAATATAATCATTAGTTAGCTGCTGATTTTAAATTTATTAAAATCTAAGACTCATGGCACCACACCCTTCTCAAATGCTCACTGGTGATAGCTGACTATTGGCTACCACATTGCACAAGACCAATGTAGACAAGGCAGAATTTTTTTCAGTTATTGGTCATTATCAACTACTTAGTTATGCAAAAGCAATTTCCAAAAAGCACCTAAAAGTAAATTGCTATTTCTGCATTCAGTCATGAAAGCAGAGCAGTTTCTGTGCATACAACCACAATAAGGCAAGGCCTTCTGACAAGTAGCCTATAAAGGAGAGAAGGTGCTGACAGAACAGTTTTGCCTAGAGGCTTGAAATTTCATTTTTGGGGGAACTTGAGTATATAATGTGTGTCCGCATCAGCAATTGAACTTATAAAAATGTAGTAACAATAAACCCAAAGCATGAAATTTCCTTACAAGACCAAATTTTACATTGTTCTTAGCAGAGAAAGATGCAGAATATAATGACTGATACATTCAAGAATGCCTTTAAAATCTGATCATAGTTCCATGAATTTACAGAATTCAGTTCTCTGGGAGATTTTCACAACTTTGTCTTCCCTTTGTTTCTACCACCATGTTTTTTACATCTAACATTTTTTTTCTGTTCTTATTTATGACTCAAACACTAATTTCACTTTAAGGTAACCAGAAGAAGTCATAGTTCCAGTATCTATTTTTCTTTTGGGTTAGTTAGCTTCCTTCAGGAAACACATTCTAATCTTTCCTCTGAAGGGAACCAATACCACCCATTGAATTTACTAATTTATAAAGCAACTGCTTGCTTATTCAATGTTATCAATTTATTATACATAAGAATAATAACGTAACAATTATTTATTCATCATTCATTTTCAACACAGTGTTTAGATAAGATTCAGGGCTTCAGGCCTTGATTATAGATTGTAGAAATTTATTTTTAAGGTTGCACTGCATTGAAAACTCAGGTCTCACATGCTGATGTGTTCGTTGTCATACCCAACAAACTTGACTTGGTTTGCTGAGCGCAAAAATCATCAAGACCAAAAGTGACTGTCTTTGTTTTAAGCCAAATTCACCATCTTCTTACAAAGGCAAGCGAGATGCCCAAGTTGCTTTGCTCTTTGGTTGGCGAGATAACTACATTAGCTAGCATTCTGGGAGTTTTGTGAAGAGTTTGAAACCGTTGCAGTCTGCAGCACATTTAGCCTTGTCAATATCATTGCATGATTCATTTAAATCAACTTTTCAAGTGGAACAGTCTGAGGAAAGAAAGAATCATGTCTCAGTAACATTTTGAATACCGGCCCAAGTGTCACAACTTTTATTAATAATACCTAAGACTGGTGAAGTACTTTGGAGTGTGCAGAGTGCATTATGTCTCTTGGTCCCCAAGACAAGCCTAGGTGGGGCCGGGAGTAAAATCTCTGCTGTTCAAATCCAAATCTGTTACTGCTTTCAAAACCAGCATTGCAGTCTCCTGTATGCAGTGCGGAGCCCTGGGGCTTCCTCAGAGGCTGCATCTCACAGGACCCCTCACGGAGCCTCTGGCCTGAGTCAGGGTGGGTCCAAGGCACTTCACTAGAAGCAGAAAGGGGAATCACATGAGCATCTGTAAGATCAAGACTGACTGGTAGTGTTGATTTACTTCAGAGGAAAGATTAGAACATATTTCCTGAAGGAAGCTAACCTGAAAGAAAAATAGATACCGGAACTATGACTTCTTCTTAATCTTCTTCTTCCAGTTACCCTAAAGTGAAATTACCAGTCTATAGTCTCAGGCCACTAATACAGGGATGATACATCTTTCTTGGTGTTTGAGTCATAAATAAGAACAGAAAAAATGTTAGATGTAAAAAACATAAAGTTCCAAGGTACAACATAGACTACTGGAAAACTGAGGGGAAGATTTTACTAAGGAGAATATCACATGATTCTCTGGAAGTGGAGGGCAGGACTGGTCGTAGGAAAAGAACCCACCAAGTGCCCAGTGCTGTACATTCTAGAATTAAACGGTTTCATTCTAGAATTATCACAATGAGATAGCAGGACCCCTGCAAAGACAGACCCTGAAGCTATCTGTGTGCACGTAGCCCAAGGATCGAGAATCAGGATAGCATAGCACTTCGCATTCGTAACTCTGAAACTAGGAGACAGTGGAACAATGCTCTCAAAATTATCCAAGAATACTACTTGCAACCTAGAATTCCACATGTAGCCAAACAATTAATGAACAATAAGAGCAGCACAAAGACATTTGTACTATAGATGATCTCAAAACTTTGATATTTTTCCTGACTCCAGAAAACTCTCCTTCCAAAGCAAGGAGGCAACACAACAGAGTAAGAAGCACGACATTCAGGGAATGAGGATTCCCATGCAGGGCAGGGTGAGGCTGTCCCAGGACAAACAGAAAGGAAGTCCCAGGACCACAGGCACAGCTGGCTGGACACTGATGCAGGAAGAGGCTGCGAGCGCAGGAGAAAACATTCCCAAGGGCACAAAAAGTGAAACTGGCGGATGTCATGGTCACTTGACAAGAGGGATTTTAGAGATCTGTAAATGAGACCGTGAGTGTGTTTACAATAGGTGTGCAGGCAAGCCAAGAAATTAAAATAGGGCAATACTAACTCCAAGAAAAACAAGAATATGATTCAGGAGAGAGTGTCAACCACACACTACACTACAAAGTTGGGAGCAATAGTTACATATTTGTAGTGATGCCAACACTAGTTAAAATTATGATATAAAAATATTGGAAGTATGAGATGGAAAGAAAGGGGCGTTCGGTAGGCCACATTATTTTGTTTCATGGTTAGAAGTTAACGGACAATGACTGATATTGAAAAATCAAGAAATATAATTATGAACATAATTCTTTTTTTTCTGCATTTAGGACAGGGTCTATAGGGTCTACCGGGTGTACAGGGCCTCACACTGTATAGGTCAGACTTGCAGTGATTCTCCAGTTTTCTGTCTCCCTAGTCCTGGGATTACACATGGGTACCAACACGCCCAGTGTCAATCACAGTCTCAACATGCCCCCAGAGTGGGGCCAGCACAGCACACCAGGGATCGAACCCCGGCTGCTGCCCTCTGCCTAAGGAGGTGCTTTAGTCCTCTGAGCTATCAGCCTGGCCCATAAGCATAATTCTTAAAAGTAAGGATTCTTCAATAGAAAAGAATTGAAGAGGTCATAGTGGCAAAACAGAAAGGGAGAAAGGAATGCTGGCTAACATCTGATAGTTTGCAGGACTAATATTCTAAACTGTTCCTTGAAAAAAATACATTCTATGTTCATGTAGCTTGGGTTGGGCAGCTCAAGCTTTCTGGATTAACTACTCCAGACAATGCAAACTAAATGCTCCCCTAATACTGAATTAGCCTGACATAAAATTATCGAGCCAGGTACAAGTTTTATTCAGCCACTTTGAGTGCCCGCATGGCTTGACAAGTAG